ATTGTAAGCTCCATAGCCGCTTTGGCAACTTCAAATGCTGCAGATCTGGCGACTCCAAGCGATCAAGTCATCGTCCCAACAATTATAAATTCCATTGCCGCTTTGGCGACTTCAAACGCTGCAGATCTGGGGACTCCAAGTAACCAAGTCGTGGTTCCGGCAAGTACTTTGGCCTTGCCACGCCAACAGCAATCTGCAAGCCTCGCTCTCTAGCATTGTGGATCTGACGGTTGGAAGGGTCTACGGTTACTCCACGCCGTCGGTTTATTAGGTATTCTACGACGAGATGATGAGGAGAGGGTAGTTGGTATTGGCGTTTCTTTGGGTTCCATGTAGGCAGCGAAATGCCGGTTGTTGTTAATGTTGTTGTATTGATTTACGGATTTTCTATAACACCTTTTTTTTAAGGAGTTGTCCTTTTGCATCTGGGAATTTGATCCGGAAACTATTATTTTTACTCTATCGGTATATCGGTTCATGCCACTTTTTCTCTCGATGTCAATGCCACGTACCATACGAAAAGTACCCAGCCAGACCTCCTGATGCTTAAGGCATTCAGAAAAGCCACATATATACCAAAGGGGCAGCCCTCCAGGTACAAACTCACACTTTAGGACTTTCCACCTCTTACCATTGCTTCGCTGAAGTTCGCAAGAGAGCAAGATTATATGTATACCTACGTACCATCTACAAGGTTTTAGATTTCCAGCGCCTTAATATATCGAGAAAAGAGCTCGTCTCGAGCTCCGTTTTTCTCTTATGGAAATCTCGGTTAAAATTTTGATCTTTTTCTTTTCAAAAACATCATCAGTCATCCGCAACTGCGATGTGCAATAAAGATAATTAAGATATCTGGCGGGGGGTCCTTGTGTGTAATATCACGTGACAGTTTCTATTCCCGGGTCAAGGAGGATGCATATATAAGCTCAAACCCCAAGCTTTCGAGCCTCAAACCGCCAACCCCAGCCGTCTTGGAAATCTAACTTACCCCCCCCGTCCGAATCGCAGGCGAAACTTGACAGGTCTAATTATCTATACATTTGTGAACTGGCATTTTCGGAATGTAAGATACATGACATCTTGGCGACATATCATACGCTCTTGGTATGTACAGCCAAGTTCATCCAAGCCCGGCTCCCGCCTTCCAAGGAAAAGATATCCCGGGCTCCAAGACTCTTCTCCCAGTCCATTTGAATAGGTTGTTGCGATTGATTGCAGAGCCGAAGTGCTTGTACCAAGTAGTAGGTCTTGGTAAGATGGGCCAAGAGTTTACTACCGACTATGAGATGACACTGAGGCAGGCCAACCAATATTTGCTACACTTCGCCAGAATGTTATCTGTATATATATTTCTCTCTCAGCTGTGCTCTGTGTTCGTCACAAGATCATACATACCGACTCCTCTGATAGCTTTTCTTTGACAATAACCGGCTGGTTACTTCCCTTCTCTTCTCTTCTCTTCTCTTCTTTTTCACCATCTCTCCATTCAAAGAATCAGGATATCAACATGTCAGCCTCAAGACTCCGAACCATCTCACAGGTCTGGCCTCCGTGGCTGCCAGGGGCGATTGCCGGAGTCGAGAATCTCTCTTCCGCTCTCTCCTCTTCCTGCACCACTACCACCGCCACCACTACTCTTCTACCCGCCCTAGCCACCTCGGCGTCTTTCAAACCTCTCTCCTCTTCAACTCTCACCACCTCAGAGTCAAGACCAGCCCCAAATCGTCGTCTCCGCCCCACAGCAAGGTCCGCTTTCTCCCACCAGTCCTTCTCCATTCCAGCACCACCAGCACCACAATACCAGCAAACCCGGGCGGAAGTCCCAGCTTTAGCTTTAGCTTCAGCTGCAGCCCAAGCTCGCAAACAAGAGGCTTCGCAGCAGCATCACACACACTACTACCAGAGAGCCGCCAAAAGCGCACAGCCGCACAGCAAAGCCCAGCATAGCAGCCACCCCCAATAAGAAGACCAGTCTACATCGTCGGCGCGGGCGTGCTAGGAAGACGGCTCGCGGTGTGATGGGCTTCGGTTTCGTGGAGGTGCTCTCCCGAGACTACTTCGCCGTCTCGCTTAGCTCCTTCGATTATCCGCATTTAGGCGGGCATATCATGAGTGTGCATTCGATATATATTGCTTTTAATGATGAGATTCCATATATTATGGATAGCTGGCGGCATTAGCGCAGACCCAAGTATGCCAGCAGGAAATATCAGAGGGAATTTCTTAACAGTGTTGGGCCTTGAATGGCTTTTCCACAGAAGAAGTTCAATAGATCTGAGCTCAAGCATTGGTAAAGTGATTGCAGGCTCGGCCTGGCTGAAGAATTGGTCCGGAAGAGCCAACTATTCGGAAACACTTTGAGATGCTAGGCTTCTATTAAGTGTTTTTCTTCGGGGCTCCGATCAGTTCTTTGTTGTATTCTTGTTTGTCTAGGGATGGGTTGGTAGCGTATGTGGGTATGGTGAGCGTGTACGTGTGATTTCAAGTAGGATATAGCTTCGGATCCACAACACATCTGCACGTTTCTGGGAAGAGGATATAGTAGAACGGACATAAGCCAAAGACAAAGGAAAGATTATACATATGTTTTATTTCGAATTCCATGATGAGTGAGTCGACTGTCGACATAATAACCTATCTGCACTGTCCCTAAAGAAGACAAGTGGCTCGGCATGCATCTATACCCTGGAGCTTCTATCTTTCATGACCACCCCCTTCCACCTCTATATTCTATGACAACCACAGCGCACCCAACAACATTATTACAGACTTACGAGAAAGGTCTTGCAGTTCCCTCCAATGGATGAGTATCAGGCTTGTATCAGCTCTATGCTTTCAAGTGTGCTGCACCGCTGGCCTTCGGTTATGTTCCAACCTTCCATCTGCACCTTTTCTCGTCCTCCGTCTACAGCCCAATTGGCAAACAAATGAGAGGATCACCACTGCAGTTCAATATATCTGCTAGATCATTTTATCCTCATTTCTCATCCGCCTCTCTCCAACTTTGCTATCTACTCACCGTAGCTGTTCTTTATCCGCAAACAGCGCCTATCCCACCACGCATCTCTACAACGACTTGAGGAACGACTACACGGCTACAAAGATGCTTTTCGTCTACGAGCAACAGTACTCTCATTTCCTGCGGCTCTACGAGGTCATGGGATGGTGTGCGCCTTCATGGCCGCCAGCGATGTGCCTGGCGTATGATCGTATGATGCAGCAACGCAGACGATATTAACGATTACACACGGATCGGAACCGACGAGAGAGACAGTCATTGAAATTAAGTCTCTTGTCAGATCGAAAGCTACCCTCAAGGCACTGGACATACCGAAAGGGAGGATAGCTCCGCATGGGCTGCATCAGCTATGGTCTTATTGGCAGCATTTGGAATGGCACTCTCAACTTCACGTTCCAGCCTTTCCGTAATACGGAACAATCAACCTGGGCTCGACCTGCGATATTGGAGCCCAAACATCCCGTTGCGTGTAACTTCTTGGCTCGAACCGCGAGAGAACGATGGGCACCAGCGAGAAAATAGCTGGGGCAATACCTTGCGTGGTAAGTACAGAAACACACTCCGCACCATATTTAATATAGCCTGACCCATCATTGACTCGAAGCCGGTTTCTGGTATATTTATCTGCTCTTGTAGGGAATTAACAGTCATATTTGAATTGGAATATACACTAGCTGAAAACACGACAGCTGGTCAGTCAGTGTTTGACTGTGCCCTACGAAGCCACTCCGACATAAAGAATGCAAACTTTTCTTGCAACATCAGCACCTATTTGTTGTGCTTCGTAACCGAATGAAGCTATCTATGGCAAGACACACCCGGCTGTATTTGGAGCATCACCTGCTCTCAGATTAGGTATCCCAGCCAAGGCAAGCAAGACTGATTTGAACGGTTCCCTGGCTCAATCGAAGTCAATCTTTCATGAGCCTGCTGATCAAGTTTGATCCGGCCGCTACTCGAGGTCCTGTCTCTATCCAAGTGGTACAATTTTGCAGGAATGCAAGAGTCAGAGTCATTTTGGCATCATCCACGTGTATCAAGAGGAATCAAGCTTGATCATGCGAGGTTGTACCACAAGCACACCCGTGGTCCTTCTTACCCAGGCTTCTCTGAATTTCTCCTTTGCTTTTTCACCTAAGAGTCTTCACGATACAAAGCTTCTCAATCGCGCGTTGTCGTCTTTCAACGATGCATGCTCCCTTTCGAACCGATAGTATACCTTCAGTATGACGATCATATTCTCAACAAGACTGATCTGAAGAAGAGTATATTCCTAGATATACTTCCCGCGGCATACATGTATCTACTCTTTCGTCTACGGAAAAGCGAAGACTGCACCTTTCTTTTTCTGCTGTTGCTATACTCGATGGCGGGACCATATCATGCTTAAAACATGACCCCCAGTAGAGTGGATGCTTGTTGCGCTTAAAATATATGACCTGGCCAAGATACCGGACGAGTAGCCAAAGGCAAATGCGCCTCCAGCCAGGTGTATATGTATGTATTCAGACAGTCAGCGTTGTTCATTAGTCGATAGATTATTCTGAGTCAACAGTTAGGGGGCGCTTGCCGCATTCAGTAAGTTGCTGACTTTTCTCCTTACTCGAGTCATCCGCAGCTGTCACATAAGGTCCACTGGCATGAATCAACCAGTGGTATCTTTTGTCTTCTCTGCTAGATTTGGTGGTGTTGTTGTACCCCGAACAAGTTCAGACATGTCAAAGGGCTTTGGCGTTGTGGAGATGGAGAGAATTCGGCGGTCGGCACGTGGCGCGTTCGCTTACCCAAGGTAAACATGCGAACAATACATGCCAAGAACTTTACACTCTTAAAAGCGAACAACAACCTCCACCACCGCCATCAGAAATCCACCAGAGAACAGGAAGGATGGCCGAACCATGCGCCGCGTATGGAGGGGAGTTGGAGCTTTCGGACCTCGTCCGGCAGGGCATGGAGTACCACCATGGATACTGCAACAAAGTAAGTCCGGCACGTATCATACCGCCCTATGCGCGTATACTAACCGCCTTTCTTTTGTTTCGTAGATCAAGGAGATCGAAGCCGTGGGCGACGTGGTCGCCAAGAAAGAGATGCTGGACTCGGTCACCAACAATCTTCTCGAAAACCTCACTAACCAAGACATGGCCCTCTCACCCTTCCTCTGCGGTATCACCGAGCTCCTCATCGGTCAGATCGGAGACGCCAAAGACCATTCGACCCTCGAGCACGTGGAGGCGGCGCTCGAGAACTTTAATCAGGCCATCGCGGCATCAACGCTCAGCGGAGACATCCAGGTGATTGGATTTCTTCAAACACAAGCCGGCAACGAGATTCTGCGCCTGCAACACCAGGCCAAGCAACGGAAGCAACGAGTCCTATCGAGCGTCGGGTCGGCTTCGGGAGTGCGCTCGACTCTCGAGAAGACGCCTAACACTGGGCAACCCAAGGATAGCCATGCAGAGGAGAAGCCGAAGCCGGTGAAGGAGAGGCTGTGGAAGCGGATTAGACACAAGGTCAAGAGGGTGTTGGGTGATGAGGATGAGAAGAAGAGTGCGGCCAGGCAATGATGCTGATAACGGGGAGAGGGATGGATTTGGAAGGAAGGGGTTGTAGGAATAATCGATTACGGCGTCATGATACCCGGCATCAAGCCTTCGGGGAATGGAGTTGTGTTTGCTTTCCGGAACAATGGCTCTGCAGCTTTCTGTGATATGGCTCTCGGGCTTATACGCCTGGTCACGCCCGCAAAGTGACAGAACGAGGTAAGTATATTGGGGCTCGTCGCCAAACCTGCATCTCATGCGTATTGGCCGGACATGGGTACGAGAATCCGAGAGCAGTGTGATTCAGTCTATTAGATAGAAGTGTCGGAGACGGCTGATCATATGCACAGGAACCTAGAGCACCCAACACACAATTGGGGGAGGGGAGGGGGGTTTCTTTTTTTTTTTTTTCAAAGCAATCTGGCTCGAATTCAACGGTCAGCGGGGGCCGTACGTCGTACATTCCCGTTACCATTCGAGGCCCGCTTGACACCCCTTTCACCATCCCAGAGACGACCGATTCCAACGCTTGCAAGATGGCTGTTCCCATGATGATTGATGGCTTGGGAGAGCTGAGTGAGTCCCTTTCCCAATATGTGTCGGTATCGCTTCGAGTTGACCTTGACGGTGCGAGAAATGATAATAATATATATATATATATATATAGGTATATTTTGTTGGACAGCAGAGCGCAAGGATAGACCGAGTTGACGGCACGCACGTTTGGCATGCGATGGTTCCATGTTTGGTCCCTTGCTATGGCTATTGGCCACGGCTATGTCTGTCCCATCGACGGCTCGCCAGGCTAGACATCTCGTCCCGGATCCCGGTGGAGGAGCTCATCGTGGTGGGTATGGCGGAAGAAGAGATGCCCGGTGTTGGATTCCTTGGGGGCCGCACGCAGCCCTTGCGATCCTGATCTGTTCCCTGGCCTGGGGGCCTGGCGGGACTGGTATACCGGAGTGGTAATGGGGATGTAAGCTGCGACTGGGAGGGACTGTTGGACTCGTGGCGGCTTTCGTAGGAGGTGGGGGGGGGCGGGGAGGATATTGCTTGCTTGGTATGTCTGTCTGGTATGGTAGGGGAGGTAGATGATCTAGGTAGCTGTAGCAGTGAGAAAGACTTGTGCAGGTGCGTGCTGGTAGTTTGGGATCAAGTGTACTATTTTTTTTCTTAATGTGGTGATTTGGATTGCGTGAGGATGCCCCATCGTTCGTTCGTTCGTTCTACTCTTCTCACTTGCGTTTTACGTGAGCTTTTCTGACACCTGTTCCGAATATATATATGTATATATATATGATAATTATCACCTACTCCATACAGGTAAATCCCAAGAGGATCTTCCACCAGCAGGCGGAATCTTGGGGCGAATGAATAGACTAGCGGCTACAGCGCACGCACCAAGCGTTCCTGTCCTGTCCAGTCCAGTCGGTGTAGATTCTTTCGCGTGACAAACACACCTCGCAATCTGATAGAATCAGGAGTGCAGAAGGTGTAGTGTATTCGGTATGAGAGTACTAAGAGCTAAGTACAGGTGTTCCTAAGGGAACAGCTAAGAGCTAAGAGGCTAGTCTAACCAAAGGAATATAAGTGACAGTCTAATATTCTAACATCTTCTTTGCTCTTTGACTCTTAATATAATAACGATTGCAATTGAATTTAAATTGCAGCTTGCAAGTTGATCTGATTTTTCGTTCCGAAGTTGTACCGAACTTTTATAATGAAGTTCTAAGTAGCTCCTTCTTTATAGTAATAAGCAGGCCTTATTAACTCTTACAATACGCTTTAAGCGTATAGCACTTACATCTCTTTTATAAGAAGTTCAATAGCTTCGTAGCTTAAGAGCTTACGTTGTAGTATAAGAGTACTTCTTGGTCTAGCTTATTAAGTTCTAGTAGGTTTGATTTTATTCATTTTTATAGATCCTTTTAATTGTAGTATTCGTTGCGGAAGGCTTATCTAGCTTTTATAGCGTTCGAAAGAAGTGCTTAGTAAGGCTTTTGTAAAAGCGTTTGCTATATTGTTGTCGCCGGGAACGTGTTTTATAATCATTTTCCTTTGATTGATCATATCGTCTCGAATATAAAAGTGACGAATATCGATATGCTTAAACTTAATTGTAAATCGAAGTTCTTAAGCTAATGATTTAGCTCTTTTATTATCGAGACGCAAAGTAAGGAGTCGTTTTAAATCTATTTTAAGATCAGCAAATAGTTTTAATATCTAAGCTACTTCTTTTGATCCGTCGCTTGCAACTATTATTTCAGCTATTAAGCTGCTTAGAGCCGTAGATTTTTATCTATTGCATGCTTAACTTATAACTGCTCTATAGTACTCGTAAAGCTAAGACTAAAAGGATTTTCGGTCTTCTTTTGTGCTTTAAGTAGCGTCCGAGTAGCAGGTGAGCTTGTTGCTTAAAGCTCTTTTTCTATCGTATGTAATGCCGTTTATAGTTGTCTTTTTAAGGTAGCGTAAGAGAGGTTTTGTAGCTTAAAAGTGTTCTCGATAAAGTGATGATATGTAGCGTGCTAATTGGCTAATAATATAAGCGATGTTAAGTCGAGTAAGATTCGTAAAGAATATCAAAGAGCTAATGATTTGCTAGAAGAGCTTTTTTTCTTTTTCGTCGAGTAAGTCGCTTTCTTTTTGTTTTATTTTCTTAAAAACGGTTCTAGCAGATATAAGAAAGTTAGCTTTATTTGCGTTATTCATTTTAAATCTTTTAAATAACTTCTTTGTATATTCGGTCTAATGAATTCGCAGCGTTCTTTGCTTTTTATTGCGTTTTATTTGTAGTCTAATAAAGGTATTTATAGCGCTTAAGTCCTTCTTTTTTTAAGTGACGAGTATTTAGTTCTTTAATATATCGATATCCGCGCGGTTGCTTATAATCAGCATGTCGTTTATATAGACTAATACGTACGCTATAGTATTTGTTTCTTTGTTTTCTTACGTAAAAAAGTTAAGATCGGCGTGAACGCTTTTCAAGCTTTTCTTTTCTATCTTATTTTTTACGAAGAGCTACTACTCTTTAAGTGCTTGTTTTAAACCGTAAAGTGATTTAATAAGTTTGATATAAGCTAGTTTGCTTCGCAATTCGAAGTATATATCGTAGAAAATGTCGCATTCATCGTCCGGTATATGCATGTATATATCTTCTTTAAGAGTTGCGTTTAAGAAAGCCGTATCGATATCGACGTAATCAATTTCGAAATCTTTAAAAGCAGCGAAAGCAAGTAGTACTCGGAGTGTAGTATGCTTAATTATTAAAGCAAAGGTTTTAAAGTAATTAATTCCTTTTTGTTGTTCGTATTCCTTTAGGACCAGCTTTGCTTTTTTACGAACGACTTTATTGTTGATGACCTTGTTGCGTAGTACGAGTCTCGAAGAAGTGAGTTTTTTACTAGGAAGAAGTCTTTTTAAAATGATTTTCAATGTATTAACGTCTCGAATTGCTTTAAACTCAGCTTTTATGCTTTTCTTCTATTCTTTAAGTTCATCTTTTAAAGCCTTTTTAACTGATAGTAGTTCTTGTTGGATTGCTTCCAAGCGATTGGGAATATATTCGTAAGGTCGTAACGGTCGTCAAAGTACTTGCAATTGCAAAACACTCGGTTGATAAGGTATCTGAATTCTGTCTACTCTTCAAGGCTCAAGGGAGATGACTCCTTTTATATCATTAAAAGGAATCACGTGCACTAGCTAGCTAATAAGTTTACTTGTCAAGTTGAGGGTCCTTTAACTGCTGACATGCTAAGCGAGGTATGCTAAGTGGCTCGTGAACCATGGTTCACGAGTAGGCTTCCTCAACTACTACTACTATTACTATTAGCTAGCTAAGGTCGATATGGATATACCGACACCGGCAACTCTTTTTTTAGCAAGCAGTGCTTTGCTAATTATTATATCGACCGAAAAAGAAAGAAGGTAATTAAATAAAGGAAAATCAATCTCATTTTACTAAACCTCATTCTCTTTTCTTTTATAACGGCTTTTCTACTTATCCGTTTACTTGCACTTTCAAAGTATTGGTCAGAACTAGCTTTTGCAAAGAAGTATTAGCTCCGACTTTGGTCATAGCGTCAGCAAGGTTAGATTTGCTTTCGATTTAGCGTACTTTAAAAAGCTCTCGCTTTTCGTATGACTCTCGAATAGCTATAATATCGATCATTAAGCGCTTCTCTTTAATAGTCTTTAGCTTTACTATACACTCGTAGAGCGAGTAAGAGTTAGTGCACACGATTACGAAGAAGTTAAAGATTCTTAGTTAAGCTGTGATTTAAGCAAAAGTGGTCGATATAGCAATAGCTATATCGATACTTAAAGACATAGCGTATAGCTTAAAAGCTAATACCGCTTTTATTACTCTCTTGCATTTTTGTGATACTTAATAAAAGATGTTACTCGTTAAAGTGAACTCGTTTTTACTTACGTGAGCTTTATTGCTAAAGATAGTTACGAAACCGATTTAAGAGCTAAGGTCAGCGTTATTAGCAAACGCTTCGTTTACGAATACAAAAAGCTTCGCCGTTTTTAAGTTTAAAAGTACGTAGTAGATCTTTCGAGTTAGGTGATCGATCAGCTACTAGATCACTTTATTAAAAGCTTTGTAATCCTTGTCTTTCGGTTCTTAATGCTAGGCAGTTATCGATAGAGCATACGATGCTTTTAAGTAGCAAATAGTAGCTAAATACGCTTTTCGAGCACGTTGCTTTAAGTACTCTTTAGCTCGTGTGGCTGAATCGAGCTTGATTATTGCAAGCCTTTTATTTTGCTTTTTTTAATTAATTGACACTCCGAACCCGTCTTTATTTAAAGATAGCTTGTATCTATTGAAAATCATCGGTTCGGCGTGTGTAAGGATCTTTATTTCCTTGCTTTTTAGCTTAGATTTGATTAGCTTTTTCTCTTCTTTTGCTTTTATAGCTCGATTGACAACTATAAGAACATCGTCCGTTTGCAAAGCAGCTATTCTTAATTGATCTTTGTTAATTGATATAAAGAAGCAAGAATCAAAGCTCGATTGTCTTATCTCGAAGTTGTTTATGAAATGCTTTGAAAAACGCTTATACTAATGCGTTCTTGCTTCGAGGATCTTATACAAAAAGCTAGTTATAAAAAATAAAGTGCCGAAAGAGAATCGATAAGTGATCTTTTTAAGTGGTCGCACGACGATTATTCGGATAAGCTTCGTGCTTAATTGAGTGTAAGCTTAAGTGATATCTTTGCTATAAACTTGATACCCGTAGTCTTTTATTAAAGAAAGAGCTAAAGCATAATAGAGTCTTTAGCCCGCTCGCTGCACCGTAAGTGACTCGGTGAGTACTTTCGTTTTGCTTTTATTTTAAAAAGCTTAAACTATTATACGAGACTTTTCGTATAGCGTAAATGTTCTTTTGCTTTTGATCTCGTTAACAAACTTAGATTTAAAGATCTTAACGCTTTTAATACGTAGATCGGTGCTCGAGATCATTTAAAAGATGCTTTAAGCTATTAATCTAGTTAATTCTTTTGCTTTAGACTTTTGAAATAGTACTTTAAAGCTTTTAATAATTCTTTCGGCTCGTAGCTTAGCTAAGAGCTTATAGTCTCGGCGTTCTTTGTCGGTAATCAACACTTTAGAGTCTTTAATAAATAGAACGTAAGAATCGCTTTTTTTTTCGTCGAGCACGGTCGAGATATTAAGATCGTACTTTTAATAAGGTATTTAGACTATTGATATTGTTGACTTCTAAAGATTAATAAGTTGAGGGTTAAGAAAGCTGTTTGCTGATTTAAGCGACCTCGGTAGATTAAGCGAATATTAAAGTTTAAGCGAATTTCGCGGTTCTAGCTCTTTTTCGCTTTCACTTTGATCTTCTTCCACTTCTACTTTAAGTACTTGCAACTCTTTTAGCAGCTTTTTAACTTTAAAGTAATAAGGTTTTACTAAGGTTGACTTGAATTCCGTAAGTCTCGGACATGCTATTGTGCACGTATGCCTTTGCTTGCTAAGCAGCTGAAAGGAGCCCTTTTACCTTTGATTCTCTTGCTATACGAGTACTTGTGAGCTAATAAAAAGGTCTAAAGTATGCTCCGTAACTAGCTTATTCCTCCTTTTAAGCGCGTCCTTAATCTGCTTCGTTGCGTAGCATTTTCGTACTTCTCTTATAGCTTTGTTGATAGCAGTAATACGCTCTTAAGTAGACGCGGTAAGTCGATCTTGTTCCGTTAGCTTTAATAAGGTCTTAAAAACGAAAAGCGTAAGGACCAAGCTATTAGGTCCCGCCGTGTCGTTGATAGCTTTGATAGCTATTTAAAGCCGGTCTTTCTTTAAAGCTTTTAAAAGCTCTTTTATGACGATCTTAAAAGCGCGTCGCATAAAGACGTAGTAGCGTTTTATTAGCTCGACGCTGTAATAAGCTTTTATAAGCATCTGCTTTAAAGTGCTGCTAATACTTTTAAAGTAGTTTCGGAACGTTGCCGAATTGAAATTAGTTTTAAGATCGTACACGACGTTTATAAAAGGTCCGACGTAAGTATTGATTTAACATCGACTGAATCCTTTAAGTAAGTGTTATGCGGATATGCTTTTAAAGAAAGTAGCGGCTTGAAAGTTAATAGAATCGCAAACGACGTGTAATACGTTCTTGCCGTTAAAGTGCATCACATCGACGTATACCGTGTTATTAAAGTTAGTATTATTTTTAAGTCTAATATTAAACTTCTTAAAAGAACGCTTAAAGATTTAGTAATGGTAGCAAAACTTTTAAATGTTGTAAAGCAAATCCCGTTTGAATTCGTGCTCGGCTTTTTTAAGAATAGCAGCAAATCGACTTGTTAAAAGGTGGCTAAAACGCTTGTGAATAGTCTTTAATTGCTCTTCCGTAAGGTAGCAATATACGGTTTCGCTTTCGGTGCTGTAATAAGTAGCAGCGTGCTTTTTATTTAATAGCATCTACACGTATTTAAACATCTTTATTATTAGTATTTCTTTTTTCTTTTAAACTAGCACGTTCCGCAAATTATCTAAGATTACTTTATGCTTGTTTATGTTAGCTAATAAGAATAAAAAAGGTACGTCGCTTTTTATAACGTAGAACTTTACTTGACTCAAGAGTGTTTCTAAAGTAATTGCTTTAATAGAAGTAGCAGAGCCGATGCCGTATTTGACGGACTTCTCTTTTGCTCGAGATATATTTAATTAAACCTCGAAGTACTTTTTTTAAAGTGCTCGTAGCTAAAGCAAGCTAGCGGTAAAGAAATTGGCTGCTTCGCTATCAATTATAAGGCTTATAAACACGTTTTTAAAGTACTTAAAAGCTATATAAGTCTTTGCTTTACCCGCGGGCACGTTTTGGGTCTCGATTTAGCTAGTAAGAGCGTAGAATGCCGTTTAAATCTTTAGTTGTTTGTATACTTCGTTAGTATCGAAAGTGCTGTAAGTAGTCACAAAACCTTCGGATATATTAGCGTAGCTGCTCGATTCGAGCGGCTCGTTTAGTAAGCTTGCGATGAATTGATCGAATTCTTTCGTAAATACAAGTAGCAAACTTTCGATCGACGCTACGTATTAAGAGAATTTGCTTTTCGTCACTCTTTTTGCGTCCTTAGAGCTCTAGAACTTGGCTACGGAAGCTTTGCGCTCGTCGGGGGTATGGTTAGTGCTTTAGCAACTTGGCTTTTTACAAACAAAACACTTTTTCTTACTTTTAGTAGCTTTGGCAGCTTTCTTACCTCCGAAGTATTGGCGGTCTTGAATAAAGCATTCGTATTCTTCGTTTAAATCGGAGTCAGCTTTTGAAGTTGTTGGATCGCCGGTAGCGATCTCTCGTAATATTCGTAAAATTCGTGACGTCGTCAAAGTACTTGCAATTGCAAAACACTCGGTGGTAAAATACTCAATTGTTGCTTGTTGTTCTTCTAGTTTTAAGAGAGCTGACTCCTTCTATATAATAAAAAGGAGTCACGTATACTAGCTAAATACTAAGTTTACAAGCAGGTTGGGGGGTCCCCGGACCTGTGACAAGCTAAGCGAAGCATGCCTAGTGGCCCGTGAACCCTGGTTCACGAGTGAGCTCCCCCCAACTACTATTTACTAGCTAAGGTCGATATAAATGAACCGACACCGGCAAAACTTTCTTTGGCAAACAGTGCTTTGCCAACTATTATATCGACCGAAAAAAAGGAAAGTAGTAATAATAAAAAAAATTCAAACGCAAGGAACAAAGAAAAAAAATTCTTCTTGAAACAAGCCCCTTCCCTTTCCAAACCCCGTCACCTTGCGAAGTGCTCACAGTGCTCTCCTCCGTATTGGCAGCCTTGAATAAAACACTCGTACTCGTCCTCAAGGTCGTCGGAATCAGCCTTGCTTGAGGTGTGCTGAGAGGAGTGCTGAGGAGAGTGCTGAGAGGAGTGCTGAGAGGAGTGCTGAGAGGAGTGCTGAGCAAATGGCTCGCTAGAGCTCGCGTAAGCTCTGCTTGCTTTGGCGGGTCGAAAGCTCTCACTCTTAAAAAGAGGTTGAGTGATCTCAGTTGCAAAAGCAATTGCTCGGCGAATGTCAGCAACTGCGGCGGTAGAAGTGATTGCAGGGTTCATCCGTGCAATCGTCGTCTCTGGCACGTTTTTACAAGCTGAATACAGCTTGTCGGCAAGACTCCTATCGTCTCTCAGACCTGGTCGTAGTGAGCCTTGAATGCCCTTGAGCTCCTTAGCGAGCTTCTCAAAGCACTCGTTAAGCGAGGTCCCTGGATTCTCTTTTTTGACCAATTCTAGCGAAATTTGCTCTTAGCGGTCGTATTTTGCTTGTCGCCGGTGGTCAGTCTCGAAGTGGTCCTTTACCGCAATAGCGTTTGCCTTGAAAGTCGGAAGCCTGGCCTTGATGACGTGATTATAGTAAAAAGTAATAGCTTCCCCCGTAAGCATAATAAGGAACGCCGCCAAATAATCGTCGGAGGTTAACCCGTATCGGCTTGCCTGGTCAGCAAAAATACTCAATTAGGTTCGAAAATCATCGTCTGGTCCCGAGTACTTCAATTCCTTAGGGAAGCTCCTTGCGAACAAGGCCAATTCTTTCGCCCTCGGGTATGGGTCCGCCGTTCCGAGCTCAGGAAAATCGTCGTCAAGGTCGCCTGGGGTGCCGTACGTAGGTGTGCTGTGCCTGGCCAGCACTCGGGTCGAAAAAGGGGTGCTGGTAGAGGGTCGGTTTGGCCCGGGTCCGTCAGGGGGTCCGTATCCTCGTCCAAGGTCTCGTCCAGGGTCCCTTGGCGGCTCATTTCCTTGTCCCTTTGTCGGGCCACCGTGTCCTCCTCCTCTTCTTCCGTGCCCATTCCACTCGCTTCCCCCTCTATTCCTTCCTTCTGGATCACCGTCCGAGCTATCTGGATCGCTAAGGTCGCTAGCAGGAGTTTGCTCTCTTTTCTGCTCGTATCCTTGGGCTCGGCCTTGGCGGTATCCATTGCCCTGGTCCTCCTCTCTCCGAATCTCTTCCTTAGGAGTATGCCCTCGGTAGGTTTGAGCTTCTTGAGGCTGGAGTAGTAAAGGAACGGGAGAAGGAAGTGAATCGCGAGAACTTCGCTTTAATGACGATGGCCTTGCTGCCTTGAGCTCCTCCTTGTGCCTTGTAGCCTCCTCGATTCTCTCTTTACGCTGTTGCGCGTCCCTCGTAATCGTCAAATTGCGTAGATCATTGAGGTCACGAGCAATAGCGTTATTTCGGCGCTGGAGTTCCTCGTTCCGTAGTATTTGCCTTTGAAGTTCCTCGTTTTCCTCTTCTCGGAGTGATTGGCGAGGCGAATTTGGAGTTGAGGGTAGAGGTTCGTCGATGACTTTGGTGAGACGAATAAGGCCTGACTGATTAGGAAACCTCTCGACCTGCTTCCCTTGGATTTTAGCGACTTCCTCAGTTTGTCGATTAAGGCGTGCAATAGTAACATCGTTCCACCTAGAATCAAATCCCTCGATTGATTGCTCTCGCTGTTCTTCCCAGGTCCATTAGTGCTCCTTTTCTATTTGAACGATTAAGGCTAGTCCATTGGCGTAGCCTTTTTGCCTTGGGAGGCACCAAACTCCCTTAGACATTAAGTGATCCCTTAGCCTAATAAGCAAGGTAAACTTGCTTCCTCGGTGGCCGTGAGCTTGTTTAGCGGCCAACGAAAACTCGTCCGCGGTCCATCTAGTAAACGCGTATCGGAATAAAGACCAAAGCTCGTGGTCTCTCAAACCCTCACTCTTTATGTCCAGGAAGTCCTCGATAATTAACCTTGCTCTTGTATGATTCTCTAGCCTTGGATACGGTAGTGAATCGAGGTCAAAACCGAGGTCCGACGTATCTTCGTCTAAGGCTTCGAAGGTATTCCGAGTGCCTGGGTCGTTCGGTAGCATTGAGGGAGGTTCCGCGGGTCTCGAAAAGGGGTCCGTAAATTGTGCAGAGATTCGGGGTGCTTGAATCTCTGTTGCTTGAGCTCTTGCTGACGTTCCAGAAGCTCCTTGTCTGCCTCGGGGATCGATTGATTGCATAGTGCTTGGCTGAGGCGTAGTATTGTTGTATTGCTGTGTGTAGCTAGCGTGGCTCTACAGCGTTGATAGGTTGTATATAAGTGACTTGGTTCGGAATCACCCTTCCGTAGTAAATAAGGTATTCGAGGTATAAGAAAGCGACTTGGTACGGAATCGCTCTTCCGTAGAAAGGTGTAAAGGTATCGAAATGTAAGAAAGCGACTTGGTTCGGAATCGCTCTTCCGTAGAAAGGTGTAAAGGTAAGGCGGTAGTATAGGCAAGCGACTTGGTACGGAATCGCTTTTCCGTTGTATAAGGAGGGAGGTATCGTAATAAGAGGTAAGTGATTTTCACTGCGGTTGCAGGCTTCTTATAGCGCAAACTCACCACTTCTACACTCTTCGAGTAAGTAGAAGTAAAGTCCCAACTCTTCGATCGATCCTAGCTTCTCTGTGATTGAGTAATAGGCGATTAAACAATCACTGATCAGTGTTGGATCGCCGGTAGCGATCTCTCGTAATATTCGTAAAATTCGTGACGTCGTCAAAGTACTTGCAATTGCAAAACACTCGGTGGTAAAATACTCAATTGTTGCTTGTTGTTCTTCTAGTTTTAAGAGAGCTGACTCCTTCTATATAATAAGAAGGAGTCACGTATACTAGCTAAATACTAAGTTTACAAGCAGGTTGGGGGGTCCCCGGACCTGTGACAAGCTAAGCGAAGCATGCCTAGTGGCCCGTGAACCCTGGTTCACGAGTGAGCTCCCCCCAACTACTATTTACTAGCTAAGGTCGATATAAATGAACCGACAGAAGTGTTGTGCTAAGAGCAGGTGTGGTCGTGTGGCTCGCTAGAGCTCGCGTAAGCTCTACTCGCTTTGGCGAGAGGTCGGGAGGTCTTAGTTGCAAACGTAATAGCTTTGCGAATGTCGGCAGCTGCGGCGGTAAAGGTAAACGCAAGGTTTATTCGTGCAATCGTAGTTTTTAGCACGTTTTTATAAGCTAAATACAGCTTGTTAGCAAGACTCCGATCATCTTTCAAACTTGGTCGTAAAGAGCTTTAAATGCCTTTGAGCTTTTTAGCGAGCTTTTCAAAGCATTCGCTAAGCGAAGTCTTTAGATTCTTTTTTTTAACTAAATCTAGCGAAATTTCTTTTTAACGGTCGTATTTTGCTTGCCGCCGGTAATTAGTCTCGAAATGGTCTTTTATAATAATAGCGTTTGCTTTGAATGTCGAAAGCTTGGCTTTGATTATATGATTGTAATAAAAGGTTATAGCTTCTTTCGTAAGCATAATTAAGAACGCTATTAAATAGTCGTCGGATGTTAAGCCGTATCGATTTGCTTAGTTAGCGAAAATACTTAATTAAGTTTTAAAGTCATCGTCGAGTCTCGAATACTTTAGTTTTTTAAGAAAGCTTCTTGCAAACAAGGCCAACTCTTTTGCTTTTAAGTGAAGGTCCGTTGCTTTTAGCTTAAGGAAATCGTCTTTATTATCGTTAAGAGCGTTTAGAATGCTGTACGCAAGCGTATTGTGCTTAGCTAGTGGTCGGATCGGTAAAGGGTTACCGATATAATTACCGATGGTCCGTTTTCTTTTAAGGTCTTTAAAAGGCTTATTTCCGAATCCGAAGTCTTTTAAAGGTCCGTTTCCGAATCCTTTTGATAGTCTAAAAGGCTTATTTCTACTTTTTCCGTACCCGTAGCTTCGATCTCTTTGCTAATCTCTTTCGTTTCTTTTTCGTCGGTCATCGTTAAGATCGCTAAGGTTATTTAGGTCACTAGCTAAGGCTTTAGCTTAGTGATATCCGTACCTTTAGGCGCGTTTTTAGCGATTCTTATACTTTTAGTCTCTTTTTTATTAATACGTAGCCTTTTGAAAGATGTGAGTAGCTTGCCGGTACGTTCGAAGGTGCTGGATCCCTTTTTCGAGTTGTTGAGGTTGGGCACGGAAATCTGTACGCTGTTCTTAGTAAAAGCTGATTTTGTTCGGAATGCTCTTAAGTTTTGGCGGGTCCTCTTTTAGCGTGTAGCTCCCGTGGCCTCGATTGTTGTCTGGTCCGATGATGATCTTAAGACCGTTTTTGTTGCTACTCGGTCTTTGTTAAATTGCTTCCAAGCGATTAGGAATATATTCGTAAAGTCGTAACGGTCGTCAAAGTACTTGCAATTGCAAAACACTCGATTGATAAAGTATCTGAATTCTGTTTGCTCCTTAAGATTCAAAAGAGCTGATTCCTTTTATAAGACTAAAAGGAATCACGTGCATTAGCTAACTAATAAGTCTACTTATCAAGTTAAAGGTCCTTTGACTGCTGACATACTAAGCGAAGCATGCCAAGTGGCTCGTGAACCATAGTTCACGGGTAAGCTTCCTTAACTACTACTACTATTACTACTAGCTAATTAAAGTCGATATAAATATACCGACACCGGCAACTCTTTCTTTAGCAAGCAGTGCTTTGCTAACTATTATATCGACCGAAAAAAGAAAGAAGATAATTAAATAAAAGAAAAACAATCTTACTCTATTAAAACTTACTCTCCTTTCTCTTACAACGGCCTTTCTACTTATCCGTTTACTTGTACCTTTAAAGTATTAGTCAAGACTAGCTTTTGCAAAGAGGTATTAGCTTCGATTTTAGTTATAGCGTTAGCAAAGTTAGATTTTCTTTCGATCTAGCGTACTTTAAAGAGCTCCCGCCTCTCGTATGACTCTCGAATAGCTATAATATCGATTATAAAGCGCTTTTCCTTAATAGTTCCTAGCTTTACTATACACTCGTAAAGCGAGTACGAGTCAGTGCATATTACTACGAAGAAATTAAAGATTCTTAGCTAAGCCGTGATTTAAGTAAAAGTAGTCGACATCGTAATAGTTATATCGATACTTAAAGACATAGCGTATAGCTTAAAAGCTAGTACCGCTCTTATCACCTTCTTGCACTTCTATGACACTTAATAGAAGATATTACTCGTTAAAGTGAACTCGTTCTCACTTACGTAAGCTTTATTGCTAAAAATAACTACGAAACCGATTTAAAAGCTAAGGTTAGCGTTATTAGCAAACGCTTTGTTTACGAACACAAAAAGCTTCGCAGTTTTTAAATTTAAAAGCACGTAATAGATCCTTCGAGTTAAATGATCGATCAGCTATTAAATCACTTTATTAAAGGCCTTGTAGTCTTCGTCTTTCGGTTCTTAATGTTAAGTAGCTATCGACAAAGCGCAAGATGCTTTTAAGTAATAAATAATAACTAAATACGCCTTTCGAGTACGTTGCTTTAAGTACTCTTTAGCTTGCGTTGCTAAATCGAACTTGATCACGGCAAGCCTTTCACCTTGCTCTTTTTGCTTAATTAACAATCCGAACTCGTCTTTATCTAAAGATAACTTGCATTTATTGAAAATCATCGGTTCGGCGTATATAAAAGTCTTTATCTTTTTGCTTTTTAGCTTAGATTTAACCAGCTCTTTTTCTTTTTTTACTTTTATAGCTCGATTGATAACTATAAGAACATCGTCCGTCTATAAGGCAGCTATTCTTAGCTGATCCTTATTAATTAATACAAAGAGACAAGAGTTAAAGCTCGATTGCTTTATGCCGAGGTTATTTATAAAGTGCTCGGAAAAACGCTTATACTAATGCGTCTTTGCTTCGAAGATATTGTATAAAAAGCTAGTTATAAAGAATAAAGTGCCGAAGAGAAATCGATAAGTGATCTTTTTAAGTGGTCGCACGACGATTATTCGAATAAGCTTCGTGCTTAATTAAGTATAAGCTTAAATGATATCTTTGCTATAGACTTGACACTCGTAATCCTTTATTAGCGAAAGAGTTAAAGCATAACAAAGTCTTTAACCCGCTCGCTATACCGTAAAAGACTCGGTGAATACTTTCGTCTTGCTTTTATTTTAAAAGGCTTAAACTATCATACGAGACTTTTCGTATAGCGTTAGTATTCTTTTGCTTTTAATCTTATTAATAAACTTAGATTCGAAGATTTTAGCGCTTTTAGCGCGTAAGTCGGTGCTCGAAATCACTTAAAAGATACTTTAAGCTATTAATTTAATTAATTCTTTTGCTTTAAACTCTTGAAATAATGTTTTAAAGCTCTTGATGATTCCTTCGGCTCGTAGCTTAGCTAAGAGCTTATAATCTCGGCGTTCTTTATCGGTAATCAACACTTCGGAGTCCTTAATGAATAGCACGTAAGAATCGTCTTTCTTTTTATTAAGCACGGTCGAGATATTCGGATCGTACTTCTAATAAAGTATTTAGACTATTAATATAATTGACTTTTAAAGATTAGCAAGTTAAAAGTTGAAAAAGCTGTTTGTTAGTTTTAGCGAGCTTCTTTGATTAAGCGACTTCGGTAGATTAAGCGAATGTTAAAGTTTAAGCGATTTTCGTAATTCTAGCTCTTTTTCGCTTTCGCTTTTATCTTTTTCTTTTTCCGCTTCTACCTTAAGTACTTGCAACTCTTTTAATAGCTTTTCAACTTTAGAGTAGTAAGGTTTTATTAAGGTTGACTTGAATTCCGTAAGTCTCGGACATGCTATTATGCACGTATGCCTTTGCTTGTTAAGCAGCTAAAAAAGGCCTTTTTACTTTTGATTCTTTCGCTACACGAGTACTTATAAGCTAATAAAGAAGTCTAAAGTATGCTCCGTAATTAGCTTATTCTTCTTTTTAAGCGCGTCTTTAACTTGCTTCGTTGCGTAGCATTTTCGTACTTCTTTTATAGCTTTGTTAATAGCAGCAGCACGCTCTTAAGTAAACGCGGCAAGTCGATCTTGCTCCGTTAGTTTCGATAAGGTTTTAAAAACGAAAAGTATAAGAACCAAGCTATTAAGTCTAGCTGTATCGTTAATAGCTTTAATAGCTATTTAAAGCCGGTCCTCTTTTAAGGCTTTTAAAAGCTCTTTTATAACGATCTTAAAAGCGCGTCGCATAAGGACGTAATAGCGTTCTATTAGCTCGACGCTATAATAAGCTTTTACAAGCATCTGCTTTAAAGTGCTGCTAATACTTTTAAAATAGCTTCGAAACGTTGCCGAATTAAAGTTGGTTTCGAGATTGTGCACGACGTTTATAAAAAGTCCGACGTAAGTATTAACTTAATATCGACTGAATCCTTTAAGTAAGTATTATGCGGATATGCTTTTAAAGAAAGTAGCGGCTTGAAAATTAATAGAATCGCAAACGACGTATAATACGTTCTTGCCGTTAAAGTGCATTACGTTTACGTATACCGTATTATTAAAGTCAGTATCATTTTTAAGCTTGATATTAAACCTCTTCGAAGAGCGTCCGAATACTTAGCAATAATAGCAAAACTTTTGAATATTATAAAGCAAATCCCGCTTAAATTCGTGCTCGGCTTTTTTAAGAACAATAGCAAATCGACCTGCTAAAAGATAACCAAATCGTTTATAAATAGTTTTTAATTACTCTTCCGTAAGATAGCAATAAACGGTCTCGCTCTCGGTGTTATAATAAGTAGCAGCGTGCTCTTTACTTAATAGCATTTACACGTGCTTAAACATCTTTACTATTAGTATTTCTTTTTTCCTTTAAACTAGTACGTTCCGTAAGTTATTTAAGATCACTTTATGCTTGTTTATATTAGCTAATAAGAATAAGAAGAGTACGTTGCTCTTTACAACGTAGAACTCTACTTGACTTAAAAGCGTTTCTAAAGTAATTGCTTTAATAAAAGTAACAAAGCCAATCTTATACTTGACGGACTTCTCTTTTGCTCGAGATGTATTTAATTAAACTTCGAGGTACTTCTTTTAAAGTGCTTATAGCTAAAGCAAGCTAGCGGTAAAGAAATTGGCTGCTTTGCTATCAATTATAAAGCTTATAAATACGTTTTTAAAGTACTTAAAAGCTATGTAGATCTTTGCTTTGCTCGTAAGTACGTTTTAAGTTTCGATTTGGCTAGTAAAAGCGTAAAATGCCGTTTGAATTTCCAGTTGCTTATATACTTCGTCAGCGTTAAAAGTGCCGTAAGTAATCACAAAACCTTTTAACATATTAACGTAGCTGCTCGATTCGAGCGGCTCGTTTAATAAGCTTACGATAAACTGATCGAATTCTTTCGTAAATATAAGTAGCAAGCTTTTAATCGATGCTACGTATTAAGAGAATTTGCTTCTCGTCACCTTTTTTGCGTCTTTAAAAGCTTAGAACTTAGCGACGGATGCTTTTCTTTCGTCGAGGGTGTAGTTAGTGCTTTAGCAACTTAGCTTTTTATAAACAAAACACCTTTTCTTACTTTTAATAATAGCTTTAGCAGCTTTCTTACTTCCGAAGTATTAGCGGTCTTAAATAAAGCATTCGTATTCTTCGTTTAAATCGGAGTCAGCTTTTAAAGTATTGTAAGAGCAAGTGTGATCGTGTAGCTCGCTAGAGCTCGCGTAAGCTTTAGCTTTAGCGAGAGGTCGAGAGGTCTTAGTTGCAAAAGCAATTGCTCGACGAATGTTAGCAACTATCGCGGTAAAAGTAAAAGCAAGATTCATTCGTGTAATCGTAATCTTTAGTACGTTTTTACAAACTGAATACAGCTTGTTAGCAAGACTTCGATCGTCTTTTAAACTTAGTCGTAAAGAGCTTTGAATGCTTTTAAGCTTTTTAGCGAGCTTTTTAAAGCATTCGCTAAGCGAAGTCTTTAGATTCTCTTTCTTAATTAAATCTAGCGAAATTTCTTTTTAACGGTCGTATTTTGCTTGCCGCCGGTAATCAGTTTCGAAGTAGTCTTTTACCGTAATAGCGTTTGCTTTAAATATCGGAAGCTTAGCTTTGATAACGTGATTGTAATAAAATGTAATAGCTTTTTTCGTAAGCATAATAAAGAACGCCGTTAAGTAGTCGTCGGAAATCAAATCGTATCGACTTGCTTAGTTAGTAAAAATCTTTAATTAAGTTTTAAAGTCATCGTCGGGTCTCGAATACTTTAGCTCTTTAAGAAAGCTTCTTGCAAATAAAGCTAACTCTTTTGCTCTTAAGTAAAGGTCCGTTGCTTTAAGCTTAAAGAAGTCGTCTTTATCATCGTTAAAAGCGCTTAAAGTGCTGTACGCAAGCGTACCGTGCTTAACTAATAATCGGATCGGTAAAAGGTTATTAATATAGTTACCGGTTATAAGTCTTACCTTTTTAAAGTCTTTAAGAAGCTCATTTCCGGATCCGAAGTCTTTTGAAAGTCCGTTTCCGAATCCTTTTAATAATCTAAAAAGCTCGTTCTTATCTTTTCCGTATTCGTGTCCTCGATCTCTTTGCTAATCTCTTTCGTTTCTTCTTCGTCGGTCATCGTTAAGATCGCTAAAGCTATTCGGGTCACCGGTTAAAGCT